TCTAACATTTGAACAGTGCTTTCTTTTCCTTTCAGCTGTGTGTTTACTCTGGTATTGGAACCAGCACCATCTCATGTTTGCTAGTAAATAACTATGTGTGAATTTTTTTTCTTCTGGCCTACTCCTTTTCACTAGTGAAATGTCCCGAGGGGAAGGAGGGGTACGGGGGACTTTCCACTTACTTTGTCATTAAGTTGTGGCAGGGAAACTGGGTAGCGGGGTCATGACCAAGAGCAAATTCTACACACTATAGAAAAAAATTGTCTCACTGGGTAAAGGTTAAGATGAAGGGTCAAGGTTAATAAAGGACTGAGCCTTACAATCAGGAAAAGAGTGAAGGCAGTAGCAACAGAAGGGGTCTTGATTTATTTCCAATCTGTTTCCTTATTGAAGGCGGCCAGAGTAATTTCCTCTTGCTGTGTAGCTCTCAATGCCCTTTGAAGTGGTATGGGGCAGGCGGAGGGGGGCAGAATCCACGAGTCAGTCTGAAAGAAAACGCGGTAAAAACAAGTCAAACAGAGACTTGGCATTTTAGACTTGGGTCTTAGAATTTGAAAGGCATTTGGTACAGTAAGGAACAATACTTCTAGAGGAGGTTTTTATTTAAATTACAGTGAGGCAGATTAAGATCAGTGAGATAAATTGTAATGGACTTATAGTCTAATAACTTGTGTAATAGACTATAGAGCAATAGTCCGTAACTATCACAAATAGTTCTAGATACATTTGAATTTGTTCATTGTGATAAGAGATTCTTGGTATATAATCAATTCCCATGTTCCTTTTAGAGAGTCTCTCTAAGTCATCTATTTGTAGGAATGATTGTCATGATCCTTTAGGTATGGGTTTACTTAGGGAGTATAAAAATTTAAAGATTATTACCTAATACTAATGGAGTACTTCTCTACAGTCCTTTGTAATTTACAAAGTGCTTTTATATGCAGTGTCTCACTCCAGTACCATGATGATGATAAATGGCTTGTTCAGGGTCATAGAAATAGTAAGATATTGAACTCAAGACTTAATTGAGGCTTCTTGATTCTGAGGGCATTTGTTCTTATAGTAGGCAAATCTTTGCTAAAGAAAAAAATCTAGTTTATTACATTTTATGCTTTTTATGCAGTTACTGTTATTTATAACACATGGAGACAGAGGGAACCTTTAAAAAAATCTACTAGAATTAAAATTGGAGCTTAGAATGTATTTAATCTCAACTTTTTAATTTTTTTTTTAATTTTATGAAAGAGAACCCTCCCCCTGCAACCAATCACTTTAGTCCCAGGGTTGGCAAACTTTGCTTGTAAAAGGCTGATACTATATTTACTAAATATCAGGTTTTGCAGGCCATATGGTCTCTGTTGCAACTATTCAACTTTGCTTTTTTAGTGTGAAAGCAGCCGTAGATAATATGAAAATGAATGAGCATGCCTGGGTTCCAATTAAACTTTATTTATGGACACTGAAATTTGAATTTTCTGTAATTTCCATGTATCACAAAATATTCGTTTTTGACTTTTGCAACTATTTAAAAAAGGGAAAACCATTTTTAGCTCACAGCCCATATTAAAACAGGTGGCAGGCCGGACTTGGCCTGTGGACCTTAGTTAGCTAACCCCTGGTTTAGCTAGGGAGGAGAGGGGAGGGCATTAACTCTTGGCTAGGATAGTGAAGGAAGAGGAGTGATGGTCTTATGAACTTTAGTTGATGTTTCTGTGGTTAAGACCGAGGTGGCTGGTTCCTCCCAGTTATATCTTTTTGTCTTGACATTTTCCACTCATTTTAGTCAGAATTTGGTGACTTTGCTTCGTTTCCATATCTCCTAGTGAGAAATCTTATGCCCAGTGATCATGTGGTTTAAACAAATTACAATGATACATTCCATCTGGACAGAAAGGGGTTTTGATTTGTCCTCTAATTTTTCTGTGTGCAGTTCATGTCCTGTAGCCTTCCCCCATGTGAGGTTAAGCTCTGCGTGAACTGGTGTATGTCCCCCACAGCTTCTATCCTAGAGCTAAATAGCCAACATTCGTGAAATTACATACTTGTTATTAATTTGTGAGGAGACAACTAGAAATGCCGTTCCTACTATACTGATTTTAAGAGGGCCTAAAGTTACACTCTTTACAACTAGTAAATAAATACTATTAGATCCAAGAACATACATGCTTTTACAGACTGTCCTAGATGGTGGCTTTCTAGTTGGCATTCTATAACCAAACAATATCCGGAAAGTGAACTGCTTGAAAGTTCTTGAATCCCTTATAACAAACACCTTCCCAAGAGATTTCTCAGAGCTTTCCCTTCTAACACAGTTACACTCACAACGTGAACAATCTCTCTCAGAGAACTTCTGGCCCTTTGCTGTTGGAAACTGGGAGAGGCAGGGCCAATTTTAATATGCAGAACCTCAGGAGTTTGGTTCAAGTTTAGTCATTTCAAAGGGGCAGTTGCCTTGGCTTGTTTATGCTCACAAGTAGGCGGAGTGACTTGAACATTAATTCTGGATTGCCCCCTTCCTGTTGTTTTTAGTCTTATTTTAGCTTTCTGGTTTTACCTTTCCCGGCTTGAGTCAATAGAGGTGGGTGTCGCCATAAACTCAGGATGCTGGGTTCTAAAGGTGGGTTGACCTTCTGCCTTCACCTTTCTTTACCCTCCTGCCTGGCTTGTAGCCATGCACAAACCAGTGATAGACAAGGCATGGGAGAAGCAAAACATCACTTTTGGAGTAATTTGTTTAGGCTTCTGAGGCTTAGGACTCTTAGGTACAAACCTACAAACCCAAGTATTAGTAAAATCCTACTTTCTGCAGTGAAAAACTAAAGCCTAGATTCAGCCTAAATTTTTTTTTTTCTATAAAATAAATGAGACCATGCTGGACCAGAATAGAATGCCAAACAACAAACAAACAATAAATTGGTTTTTATTTAGAAAATGGATGACTCTAAATACGTAAAATAAAATTAAAAATTCAAAAGTTAACCCTAAAATTGCTATTAGTTAAATAAAGAGAAGTGATAAGTTCACTTTTTATAACTGGATACCCCATATACTCCTTAAGTCATAAGTTTCGATAATACATTTAAATAGCTGTTTTCACCAACATTCTACATTAATATATAATCTTTTCAGAAAAAAAATAGCTATTAGTAAAATTGAGACAGATACATTTTTTAAAATTTGGAATTCCTTAGCTAATTATGTGACGGACTCATGCTATATCTGTGTAAGGTCCCTTTGAACTCTGAAAGTTAATGCCTCTACAAATTATTTTCTTAGGTTGTTTTTTCTCCATTCAAAAGTGGTATATCAAATCCCTACTATTTTTATAAAGTAGTTTGGAGAACTGTAAAGATAATTACTTTTGATATAAATAAATAGGCTAAATCTTGATTAAATCCATCCTGTATAGCCAGACTTGATGGGAAAATAATGGGAATTGCAGATAACACCCCAGTCTCTTCCAATTACGTCATTTATTGTTTGGACGGGGATGAGGAACTGGTTCATTACAGGTCAACTCTGGTCAGTTTACATCTGCTCCGGCCTTGCTGCATTCCCCAGAAGGGAACACTGTGTCTTATTAGTATTAATCAGGGAGAGAGAGGTGGCTGCACTTTTCCTCCTTCTGGTTTTCTTTGATCGTGTGGAAGAAGCTCCATCCACAGATATAACCCACCTTAATAGTAGTAAGTAAGTAAGGAGTAGTAACCTTTCCCTAAGTAGTAGTAACCTTTCCCAGCTGTCTCGCTCCTTCCTCCCTAAGAGAAATGACTTACTCTGATTAGTGAGTGTGGAAGGAGTATGGGGTAGCCCAGCTTATCCTTCCCCCTTTCTTCTAGGAGTGAGCTACCACTAGGAGCTACCATTCCTTTTGAAGAGGCATGCACTGTGTCTGCAGGAGCAGGCTGGCCCCACCTAGATGCAGTATGGGACTAAGTAAGACTGTCTAATACTGGGGAACATAATTAGAAAGGCTGCTGCTCCACAGATATAAGCCTTATTCTCCGCATCAGCTTTTTGAGTACACGGGAGATAGTTTAGTTTTTCATCTGCCTTATTCTTCTGGTTCATTTTCCAAAGGGTTCCGAAATCAAACTGGAAAGAAAAGTACTGTTTGTAACCCTGCCTCCTTGGGCCTCCAATAGAAATGTCTGTGAGGAGCTCATGGTATTGACTAATCCTAATAATGTTCTTGAAGTTGTAGTTGGTTTGGTTTCAGAATTACTTTTTTTGACTCACATAAAGATTGTGTTTAGGAACAACAATTAGCATTTCTAGAATAGCTTAAGATAATTTACATCTGCTTTTATATACAAAGGGCTAGATGAATACTTAATACTCTAGGATAAAAAGGTGGTCTGGAGGTCATACTAGTTCCCTTACTGATGCAGTGTTACCTGCTGAGCCCAGGTCATATGGACATCTTGCTTCAGAACTAGACAACCAGCTGTAGGAGAATTGCTTTCTTGTCTTTTCTTCACTATATTGAAATAGGGGGAAAAAATTCACTGTTAAACATGTCTCCCTTTCAATACTGTCATAGGATTTTCCAAACATCATTCAGACCTGAGGGACAAGTTGCCTAAAAACTTTATTTAAGGCAACCGGGGAGAAAAAAAACAAACATCCAAAGTGACCAACCCAGGATGTTTTCCAAGTCCTGGAAAACTAGGATGTTACCTGGAACATAAGATTTTCATTGCCAAAATTGGGACAATCCATGGCAAACCAGGAGAAGCAGATCATCCTGTAAGACATACCTAGTACGTCACTTGAGCTGTTCTTGCCAGCAATGCCATTAACTTAAATATTGAGCTTGCTGAAAAACAAGCTTTTGTCTTGGCCATGATATAACAACTCTGTCATCCCTGTGATACTTGCTTATTGAGGCCTTGTGACAACAAGGCCGAAGGCATAACAAGTACGCCCAATTTTAACTGTATGAAGCACACTCACAGTTGTTCCTTTTCTTTAACTCATTTCTGCTTTCTTCTTTGCAGGTTTGTGATTCAGACACCATGCTTGACCCTGCCTCGTCTGTGGAGATGGTAAAAGTTTTAGAAGAAGACCCCATGGTTGGAGGTGTTGGGGGAGATGTCCAGGTGTGTATGGCTTCACTTTTTGCATGGGTCACTTTTAGTGCACTCTTACTCATTGATTCATTGAACGTATATTTACTACACACCGAACTCTGTGCCAGGTATTGTTTTTGGTGCTGAAGACACATTAGAATGTGCCTCGGACTCACTTGACTGCCTTTTCTCCTAAACTGAAATAATTTAGTGTTTCTTTGCGTAATCCTGGGGTATAAGCCATGTCTGTTGTGGTTGATAAGTTACATACAATATAATGTAAACGTGTAGGAGTGATTTCCACCATATCTTCTTGAGCCATAACTTAACCTTCTGGTAAAAATCTGATGTTGGAATTCATTTAGTTGCAAGGGTAAGAAAAATGGAAGTACAGCGGAGGATAGATTCTATATCTTATACCTATGTATTTAATATGTGGGTGATCAAAAATCCAAGTTGGAGGGGGCTGGTCCAGTGGCTCAAGAGGTTAAGTGCGTGTGCTCCGCTGCGGCGGCTCGGGGTTTGCCGGTTTAGATCCCGGGCACGCACCGATGCACCGCTTGGCAAGCCATGCTGTGGTGGCGTCCCATATAAAGTAGAGGAAGATGGGCATGGATGTTAGCCGAGGACCAGTCTTCCTCAGCAAAAAGAGGAGGATTGGCAGATGTTAGCACAGGGCTGATCTCCTCACAAAAAAAAAAAAAAAAAAAAAGGAATCCAAGTTGCAGGGGCCGGCCCAGTGGCATAGTGGTTAAATTCACGCACTCCGCTTCAGCGGCCCAGGGTACGCCGGTTCGGATCCTGGGCGCAGACCTACGCATATCACATCAAGCCACGCTGAGGAGGCATCCCACATAGAGCAACTAGAAGGATGTACAACTATTATATGCATCCCCTATCTACTGGGGCTTTGGGGAGAATAAAGGAAAAAAGGAGGAAGATTGGCAACAGATGTTAGCTCAGGGCCAATCTTCCTCAAACAGCAACAACAAAAAAATCCAAATTGGAAAACAAAGGAAGAAAAGAGAAACACCAACTCAAATTTATACTAGTGAGAAAGGCAAAAGAACAATTCATTAATAAGTGGGTTTTCCAATTATTATTTATATCCCACTAATTTCTCCTTATTTCTCATTATTTACTATAAATGAAGAAAAAAGTAGTAAAACAAATATTAATGAAGGCAATTTGAAATTTGTGGGATGGGAAAATGAATATGTGAAAATATATGAAGATTAAAATGTGTTCTTTGCAAATGTGTGATTCGAATTTAGCAGAAGGTGAGAAGCGCAGAGAAATTTGACTTTAAAATTTAGGTATTATCTTGCTGTATAACCCATTTTGTGTATTCATGGTGATAGTGAAGGCAAAGAAAACACACTAGAATGGACAAAGAAATAGCCTGGTGATAAAAAGGAAGCATGCAAAATCCAGATGAAAACTGAACAAAACTGAGACAGAGGAGAGAATTTAGAAATATTGCCAAGAAAAAGCTGATAATTTTCAATAGCCTTTACATAGATTATTATTTCAGGATTCAAGTTTTGGGGGGAGGCCAGAGCAAACTCTTTTTATCACTATTGTATAAAAGAGAGGAAGAAGGAGAAGGAAAATTAACAGAATTGGATGAGTTGGAAATTAACCAGAACTGGAGAGAATAGAACTTAAAAACCTTCAAATCTTAAATGGTAGTAAAGAGCGGGAGAAGAATTTAGGGGCTGAGAACTAAAGCCTAAAAAAATCTCAACATTATCACATAACAACAAGAACAAGAACAAAAAACATAGCAAAAAGAGGACAGAGAATAATGAGGTAGAAGAAATATTTATCAAAGAGTCCCAACACGTGCACACAACCTATCAAATCAATCTAGTAGTATAGAATCAGAGAAAAGAAAATATAACCATGTTAAAAAGAGGAAGGAAGCCAAAACAGGAGGATAAAATAACAAACCTCACTCTAGGGAGTAACCTTATGATAGTGTAGATTTTGTTGGTATTTTTGGCTAAGGTTTACCTTTTATTTACTTATTTTTTTCTTCTCGCAGATTTTAAACAAGTACGATTCCTGGATTTCCTTCCTCAGCAGTGTGAGATACTGGATGGCTTTTAACATAGAAAGGGCTTGTCAGTCTTATTTTGGGTGTGTCCAGTGCATTAGTGGACCTCTGGGAATGTACAGAAACTCATTGCTGCATGAATTTGTGGAAGACTGGTATAATCAGGAATTTATGGGCAGCCAATGTAGTTTTGGTGATGACCGGCATCTAACGAACCGAGTGCTGAGTCTGGGCTATGCAACAAAGTACACAGCTCGATCCAAGTGCCTTACTGAGACACCTATAGAATATCTCAGATGGTTAAACCAGCAGACCCGTTGGAGCAAGTCCTACTTCCGAGAGTGGCTGTACAATGCGATGTGGTTTCATAAACATCACTTGTGGATGACCTACGAAGCGGTTATCACTGGATTCTTCCCTTTCTTTCTCATTGCCACAGTAATCCAGCTCTTCTACAGGGGTAAAATTTGGAATATCCTCCTCTTCTTGTTAACTGTCCAGTTAGTAGGTCTCATAAAATCATCCTTTGCCAGCTGCCTTAGAGGAAATATCGTCATGGTCTTCATGTCCCTCTACTCAGTGTTATACATGTCAAGCTTACTTCCCGCCAAAATGTTTGCAATTGCAACGATCAACAAAGCTGGGTGGGGCACATCTGGAAGGAAAACCATTGTTGTTAATTTCATAGGGCTCATTCCAGTATCCGTTTGGTTTACAATCCTGCTGGGTGGAGTCATTTTCACCATTTATAAAGAATCTAAAAAGCCATTCACAGAATCCAAACAGACAGTTCTAATTGTTGGAACGTTGCTCTATGCATGCTATTGGGTCATGCTTTTGACGCTGTATGTGGTTCTCATCAATAAATGTGGCAGGCGGAAGAAGGGACAACAGTATGACATGGTGCTTGATGTATGATCGTACATTGACGTTTGCAGTCACACATGCAGACACACACAAAACCTTAGTTCCTCTAGGGACTGTACAGTATTGTGGCATCGGATAATGCCACCAATGGAGACATATCACTGCTGCTGGGACTTGAACAAAGACATTTCTATGGGTTTATTTTGATTCTGCCAAAGTAAAATGATACATCAACAAGAAGAAACTCAGATTTAACCTGTTATTTCTATGAAAATGGGAAGAATTTTTGTTTATGCACTTTTTCCTTACTGTACATCGCCTAACAGTGTTTTTCTCTATATACCTCACTAGCCATGCTTTATGTGGGTTATCACGGAAGAAGAGGATTTTGGAAACTCAAGGAAAAGTTCTTTCAACGTATACAACCTAACTTATGGACTGTGTTGATGGCTAATTTTTTTTTTTTTTTAGAAAGGATTTTCTGTTTAACTCTACCAAATGAAATGCCAAAGGAAATTTTAAAGGCCGTTGGCTGTGCTGTATTTTTATATAATTGTACTGTGTTTTAAAATTTTGTATGCCAATTTTTAAAACAAATTTTGCATATTCTATATTTTACTTCTCTGCCAAAATACACCTGTTCTTCCTTTTTTTTTTTTATAAAACAGGTTCTGAAAAAATTCATACTTAAAAAAACCTACCCAAAATGTGAAGCTTGGTTGACTGATGTTGTTCATGATAGAAAAAATAAAAACGTTTCTCTTTCTCTTTACTTTTTAAAATTGAATAGTTTATTTCTGTGAAAAAGTATTTCAACTTTCAATATTTTAATTTTTTTTTCATTTCTTTCCAAAAAGGCCAATGTACCTGTCACACTTTGGGAGTAGAAATACATACTTGTGTGTACAAAAAAAGAAAATCATTGAAAATCAAGGCCGAAGGGGTAGAAAAGTGCAATTTTTTTCACAAGATTAAAAAAAAAAGGGAATGCTAGTCCACGAATTAAAACATTAGGCATCCAGCACTGGACAAAACATGAGTACCAAAGATGAATAATCTTTGGAGATTCTGGCAGTGTTTTCTCAGGCTAAGTAAAATGGAAAGTGGAAAAAATTATGTGTATGATTTGGGTAAATTCAAAGGAGTTCATCATTTTGTTCTGTGGCCTGAATTCACCAGATCCTGTCTATATATTGAACACATCTTATCTGTCTTTTTGTTTTCAGCTTGTCAGTTCACTTTACATGTTAGTAGGAGGTTTACACGGTCAAGTTGGATAAATTATAATAAATATAAAGCATATAGATTCAAAATTGGCTTTTACTTTCTAGAGAGGACTTTTTCTGGATTATACAGATAATTTCTTCATCTCTCCTGTTCTTAGCCTACCTAAATATGTTTACATAGTAGAAATGATATCAAGGTTTAATAAATGTATTGAGAATTAGCACATAAAAAAATTGATGAACCAGGTACCTTTAACCCAGCTAATTAACTACTCCAGAGCCTCAGTTATTCAGTTGGACTTTTGACATGACCCATCTTGTCTTGTAGCTGGTGCTGTGTAGACCTGTGCTAAATAAAAAACACAATCGAACACATGAATAGTTGCATAAAAAGTATTGTGTGAAGCAGAGACGTGGAGAAGTGTTCAATCATGTGCTTCCTGCCTGTCTGCTTCTTTTGCATGCAAACAACTATGTTCCATCTATCCTGCCTAAGAGAAAGCTGCACATTCTACCTTTGGAATCCAAAAAGATACATAACATTCTGCAATGCCGACTCTCACTGGTTGGAGAGCTTGTGGGAAACAAACACACCATGCCAATAAATGAGACTAAAACTTGAGTTTGCCTTTTTAACTATTTATGTTCTAAGTTAAGCTTTGATAACATTCAAATGTCAAATTCTCTCATTCTTATAAAAAGATTGAATTAATTGCCTGTATTTATTTTAGCAATTATTCAATGTATTTCCAGTATAGGATGTATAGTATAATTGATTTTTTTGTAAATAAAATATTTTTGATAAGATTATTGCCTTTTTTTCTAAGGGAAGGGGGAATTTTAAAACAGAAAAACTTTGTTTTCCTGATTGTAATGGTATGGATTTAAGAATGGGGTATATAAAAAAAACCAAAATGGTTGGTCAAAGATAATAGAAGTCATTTAGTGTTACAATCATGAGGTAGAAATCCCCAAAACTGGTGTGGTTTGGAAGTCTAGAAAACTGAGAGAAAGACTGTCCGAATTAACATAAACCTTGTCTCTAATCTCTTTCTTCTACGTCCCTTTAAAGCAACCCAAATTTAGACAAAAGTTGTTTTATTATAGTAATTTATTAGAGCAGGAAAAAAAATCACAGATTTTCAGAAAAATCATAAGCAAATTTGTTTATTATAGCATTATTTATAAATAATAACAAAACCTTTAAATAACTTAAAATCCAATAATGAGGGCTATAATTAAATGAATTATGGCATTTTCAAACAATGGAACATCATTAGCCATTAAACACAATGTTCTCAGAGAATATGAGGATGTTGGAGGAATGTTACATTAAAAAATATATAACCATTCTGTACAGTAACATCCCAATTTTGTAAAACAAAAATGTTTAAACGTGGTTATTTCTAATACTGGGAATATGGTCGATTTATATTCTGTATACATTTTTGTATTTTCCAAATACCATAATCATGTATTGCTTTTATAATCAGAAAAAGGACAATAAATATTGCTTTTTCAAAAAAGTGGGTTGGGGCATCTAATAGCATTTCCTGGTTTGAGGAGCTTTGATGGAAATTACTCCATTTTACCACTTATCCCTTAAATTCATCTTATTTCCCAATTCTTCATTTTATTATATGGTTCCTAAGAATCCTTCCTTACCTTGGTACAGTTTCATTATTAAAAAAAACTATACCCACAGAACATTATTGCCACTATAGACAGCAGAAATATTAATGGTTCTAGTCCCAATAATTCACTGATAAAGTCACCTGGTGCTATGTTAGAATTTGGCAAACTTTTAAAGTAAAGAGCCAGATAGTATCCATTTTAGGCTTTGCTGGGCATATGGTTTGTCACGTGACTACTCAGCTCTGCTACTGTAGCACAAAAGCATCTATAGGCAATATGTCAATGAATGTGTGTGGCTGTGTTCCAGTAACACTTTATTTATAGACACTGAACATGAAATTTGAATTTTATGTAATTTTCACATGTTAAAAAATATTCTTCTTTTGATATTTTTCATCTTTTTTTTCAATATTTTTCAAAGATTTTAAAACTATTCTTGGTACAGCAGCATTACCAAAACAGGTGATGAGCCAGATCTGGCCTGCAGGCCATGGTTTAATGACCCTGGTTCTTTAGGAATCTGTTGACTTATTTGTACCATTAAATACTCACAATCACATCCAATTTTTAAGCACATGCTGTGTGTCAGCTACTGTCAGGAGCGTGTTTTATAGAACAGCTATTTTAGCTCTCATGTCAGTCCCAAGGGGTTCCATTATCGCAACTTTACAGGTGAGGAATCTCGGCTTAAAGTGACTTGGTACCTTGAGAGCATAAAGCTAGCAAACTGTGGTGATGGAATTTAAATCCAGGCATTCAGATGTCAGACTAAACCTTTAAACTAGTGCTATTCACTATGTCATCCACTGTCCCCCATCACCTGGGAATTTGTTAGAAATGCAAATTCATAGCCCTACCCCAGGCCCACTGAATCGAAATTTCAGGCTGGGCTCAGGAATTTGTGTTTAATCAGATCCCCAGATTTTACTCACATTAAAATTTGAGAAGCATTGTTCTAATCCAGCGTCTTGTTTGGTTCCCCTCAGACTAAGTATAATTTCTATAACTTCAATTCAAATATTTGTATTCTATTGAACTTTTCTATTTTTAATATCATATACGGGTGTTGGCAGATATCTGTTTTTAATTAAGTTTACTGAACACCTATTATGAGCAAGAAATCAAGAGGTACACATTGTCTCTATACTCAAAGAGCTTATAATTGAGTAAGAGGGATATAATCACCAAACATTTGATGCAAAATGGAGTAATAGGTGTATAAACAGCAGCATGAGATATAAAAAGAAGGAATAAAATGTACAATTAGCTCTCTAAAGGTAGGCTTCAAAATAGCATGGTATTGGGTGCAAATTTGGATGAGAACTAAGGACTTTCCAGATGAAAGAAATAATATGGGTAAAGTAATAGAGGTGTGATTTTGATATGTGATCTTTAAACAGAATGAACAATTTTAATTAAGGTGTGGGCTGTATTTAATTAAGAATTGAGACTTAAGTATAGAAAGTAAGTTCGAAGGTGTGTCATAGAAGACCATAATCCAACTGGGAGAAATACTAGAATGAGATGTTTAAACTAAATTTAATAGATCACAGGACATGCACATGTCTTTGAATAGGGTGCTAACATTATTGTAAATGGAATTACTTTATGGTGGTTTGGATTTGAACATCCCACATAAACAATTATGTTTAGAAATATGATTTGGTTCCAGTGTGCTTATAATAAACTGGTATTCTTCTTCTAGGCACTTGACTACTTTCATCATATTCCCTTCAAATCTGCCTCCTGTTTCACGTCCCCAGTTAACGAATGGAAGCACCTCCTGCCAGTTGCCCAAATACTATCTTTAGCTTCTTCTTTTATATGCCCTGTAACCAGCTAGTCACCACACCCATTCGATTCCACCTTTGCCATTCAAATTCATCTCTCATCCTAGTTGAGACATTCTGTATCTCTTACCTGAACTGTTAAAAATACCTCCTAACTACCTCTCTTTTTCCTATTTCTGTTTCATCCAGTGGATTCTCTACATTTCTGTCAAAATTATCTTGTTAAGGCCTAACTCTGTATACAAAGGTTTAATTTTATCTCATTATCAGCAAGATAAAAGCATTAAATCTTTGAGAGATTCAAGGTTGATGATTATCTGTTTATATCCCCTCTTGCAGGTCTCCATCCTATTTTTTTGTGGTCCTACTAAACTAGATTTTTTGTTCCCTTTGCACACACTTTGCCCTTTTCCTTTATCTTTGTCTACATTTTGCTCTCAACCTGAAATGGCTTTTCCTGTCTCCCTGCACCCTTATATCTACCTGTTGAAATGTGTCTATATCCTTCATTCAAGACATAATTTTACTACTATCTCCTTCCCCAAATACCTCAACTTAAAGAGATCTCTCACTCTCCTTCACTCTCATAATATTTCATTTCATCTCTGCCATGTAGCCCAGGCTTTCTTCTGCCTTGTGTTATGAATATCAGTGCACATGATAATATCATGGTAGACGAAAAGGTTTTTTGGGCTGAGGTTATGTTTTCATCGTTTTTGAATTCTCCATGGTGACTAGCACAGTCAGGTGTGCAATATTTGGTGAACAAGCAAATGAATACGTGAGAGAACAAGGAAGGAGGGATGGACTCAAGTAATGAACATTCTTTTAGGAAAGTTTATGACATTCTTGGAGCTTTGCTACCAGAACAGTTTTAGGGTGTGAGGGCTACACTTTCTTTTTGATTTGGACAGTGGACTGATGCCTTTGTCACTGGAAAGAGAGCACCTTGGCACTGTCTCTCAAGTTAAGGCATCCAGTTCGATAAACAGTTTTTGAGTGTGATTATGTGCCAGAATTTGCTGAGATTTCAAAAATAAGAAATTACGCCTGCTTTCAAGGAATTCTTTGAGTTTCTCCAGAAAGCCATGCTCCTAGTCTCCTGTGGGCATTCCCAAAAGCTCTT